CGCTTAGGCGCCGCCTAGTTCTAGGCGGCCCACGGGCTGCCTAGCTTTTTGAAAAAAAAACTAAAAAAAGAACCTAAACCCATACTTGTTACCCGAACCCATAACCTAATACTAATAGCTAACCCTATCTCCCTCTCTCTAACTCTCCCGCACTACTCTGTGGATAAAGGGTTAATGAAAGTTGATGAAATTCCATGACCAAGATATAGACTCCTTGGTTTGTCACATAACAGCAGACCAAGGGATGGAAGTAATTGTTGGTTTTGCAGTTAAACTCATCCGAGTAAGGTATCCAAAAATTCTTCGGGACAAAATAGTTTAGCAGCAGAGAGTTAAAGTTGATAAGCTGATAAGATTGCGATGGGGAACATAGCTCCGAACTTATTATATGATGACTTTCTGAGGCAGAGATTTAAGCCAAAATGACATTTTCATGATGCATTGTTTATTATTGTAGCCAGTATGTGTTCTGCATTGCCACTAACCATGTCTTCTACTAACTAATAGTTACAATGTAGCACATGAAAAACAAATTCTGGATCAATGGAATGACAGATGGTTGTGAATGTTTTCTTAATACTCTAATTGTCATATGATGCCTGATTGCAGGTAACACCAAATGCCCATTTCCAAAACGATCTCGGTCTCGACAGTTTGGACACTGTAGAACTTGTCATGGCCCTAGAAGAAGAATTTGGGTTTGAGATTCCTGATAATGAAGCGGACAAGATTAACTCCATCAATCTTGCTGTTGAATTTATTGCTTCTCATCCTCAGGCAAAATGAATGTTTTCTTCTTAGAACTATCCTCAAAGCTTCTTTTTTTCCCCCTCCTTTCCCCCCCATCAGAAAAAGGACACTTAGCATAATTACTCTTTTGCTAAATAAGCCATCATAGTTATTTTGTGAGCATTTGGGTAAGAGCCAGTTTATTTGAAATGTAACTGAGCTTAGCCATGTTGAAAACTATTAGTTTTGAGTTTTGTTTGAATCATTAAGTTTGAGAACTATTATGTATCATGTATTTTGTCGGACCCATCTTATGATATCTTTTTGTTTTAATTTTTGAAGCGAAATAATTTTCTGATCCCTGTATTGGGGAAAGGACTCTAGAAATTCTTTGCAGATCATGTCAAAAGCAATTTTTGTGCGTTTTATGCTTATTTTTGTGCATTTTAGGCAGCAGCTGTTAACTTCAAGTTGAACCGATGGATCAAAATACTCCAGTGTAGATTGCCTGGTTTTCGCCTACAAAATTATGTCACTTTATCCATATTACAAGATGTTGGCGTTATATGTACCGTGTGACTTCAAAGATTTCATGACTTTATGCACGTGAGAGCTCACATGTGAGCGGATCCCCTACATTTTGACATGCACACGGGAATGCACTTGCCAAAATTTTGTCCTTTAATGTCAGATGGGCATAATATCATTGGTACACTTGGTAGTGGTCAAGATTATACAACATTATTTTCTCCCATCAAAAAAGAAGTATTTAAGGTGTGTTTGGCAAATCACTAATATTAGATTAAATTTATTCATTAAACTGGTTTTCGTAAGAACCGATCTAGCTGTAGACCATCTTCTCTCTGATTCACCGCCAAACCGGTTTAGAGGTTCAAAAATAGGCTAAAAGCAAACTAGGTCAATTTCGGCTCAGTTTGCCAATCAACACGACTCTTAAAAATTGAAGCATTATCAAACCTGGTCCAGTTTTAAAGAGTTGCCAAACATACCCTAAGTTCAACTTTGTTCCCTCAACAACTAATATGAAGCCAACACTATCAACCAAAAAGGGCAAAGAACCAACCTATTACATTTAACCCTCGTATCTAGTCACACGCATCTAATTATGTGATATTCATGCATCATAACATATGATTAAATGTTACTACAAATAATTAAAGCTAGTAATCAGACATTTGTTAGAATGCACGACCTAAGTAAATCATGAAGGGAAAATATGATCAATGTTTTCCACGTAAAAGTGTTCTGATGTTCATCCATTTAGAGAGTTGAGATTTCGACAGCTCATCTACTTTTTTCCTCTATCGATCTCGACCGTCAAGAGTGTAGAGCTACAAAATAGCAATTCCTGCATGGAAAGTATTCTGATAGGATTCATATTCTAATAACATTTTTATCTTTTTAGACGATATGTAATAACATTTTTATCTTTTTAGACGATATGAAATATTTCATATTGCACATGTAGCTGTGACTATAAAACCCCAACATGGATCCCCACTCCTTTGCCTCACTCATCCAAAGAAAAAGAAGCACCACTCTTGATTCTAAACAGTCTTAAATCCTTAACAAAACTCAGTGATATGGTACAATTATGTTCTTTTTATTCTGAAGATAAAATTATGATATAAATACAAATTAATTACATTAATTATACACAACGCTATACAAGAGTACATAGTCCACATTACTATTATACAAGTGTATAAACTCATGTTCAAGCAAAAACTCAGTGACGGAGATGAGCAACAACATTTCCATCTAATTAATTGTGGCAGCTTTGAAAAGCTCCTTCCATTTCTCCGTATCGCTTCCAGGTCCTTCTCCCTGCAACACCATTTATTTTCAGTTTCAAAAATTAATAATTTATATTAATGTACTTTGATTTCACATTGTATTTGCTAAAAAAAAATTAAAGAGCAAATTTTATAACATCATTCTCATCATATAGTAGGCTTGTAGTTTTTCTTCTTCAATAAACAGTACCTCTGCAAGATTAGTAAAAGGTAAATTACATAAAGTCCTCCGTACAAATCACATAAAATCTCCCTAAATTTTAAAAGGTGATATTTTTCACTGCCCATCAAATTTTTGATATAATCACCAATTTTCAATGTAATGACCATGTACAATTTGTAAGGAAGTATAGACAATTGTGCAATTAACCTTGACCAAAATCTTATTTTAAAAATACCTGTATCGAGTTGATCTCATATATTTGTCCCTTAGTAAAGTCTATATCGAGAGCTTGTATGCAGGCTTCTGCCACTACAAGTCTGCTAACCTCGCCCACAAGTTTATCTCCTGAACAACAAAAAAATATCAATTTTAAGTAACCGGTTAAAACCCCTCGTTTTGTTAATTTATCATAATGCAACATGATTATAAAAAAATTTGCAACAAAATATCCATCGGTTGTAGCATGCAGATGCAAGCTGAGAGATATCACTATATTGTTGCACAATGTTGATTTCAATCCACAAAACTACTGTGATAAAGAGGGGTAAGGGCTATTGATTACGAATAAGGTATGCTAACATTACTATGATTATTAGAGAAAACTACCATGAACTTTTCACTAAACTATCATGCCTGATGACAATGAGTGTAGGTTGTCACATGTTTAACACACGACACATTTTAGACAATTTTGTTCTGATGTACTTTATATATCTTCTATATTAGTCTTTTGATTTTTCCCAGATTGATGGACAAAAATAACCTGCCAGTAAAAATTTCCTATAGTTTATGCAGCTTTGAAAAGCTCCTTCCATTTCTCCGTATCGCTTCCAGGTCCTTCTCCCTGCAACACCATTTATTTTCAGTTTCAAAAATTAATAATTTATATTAATGTACTTTGATTTCACATTGTATTTGCTAAAAAAAAATTAAAGAGCAAATTTTATAACATCATTCTCATCATATAGTAGGCTTGTAGTTTTTCTTCTTCAATAAACAGTACCTCTGCAAGATTAGTAAAAGGTAAATTACATAAAGTCCTCCGTACAAATCACATAAAATCTCCCTAAATTTTAAAAGGTGATATTTTTCACTGCCCATCAAATTTTTGATATAATCACCAATTTTCAATGTAATGACCATGTACAATTTGTAAGGAAGTATAGACAATTGTGCAATTAACCTTGACCAAAATCTTATTTTAAAAATACCTGTATCGAGTTGATCTCATATATTTGTCCCTTAGTAAAGTCTATATCGAGAGCTTGTATGCAGGCTTCTGCCACTACAAGTCTGCTAACCTCGCCCACAAGTTTATCTCCTGAACAACAAAAAAATATCAATTTTAAGTAACCGGTTAAAACCCCTCGTTTTGTTAATTTATCATAATGCAACATGATTATAAAAAAATTTGCAACAAAATATCCATCGGTTGTAGCATGCAGATGCAAGCTGAGAGATATCACTATATTGTTGCACAATGTTGATTTCAATCCACAAAACTACTGTGATAAAGAGGGGTAAGGGCTATTGATTACGAATAAGGTATGCTAACATTACTATGATTATTAGAGAAAACTACCATGAACTTTTCACTAAACTATCATGCCTGATGACAATGAGTGTAGGTTGTCACATGTTTAACACACGACACATTTTAGACAATTTTGTTCTGATGTACTTTATATATCTTCTATATTAGTCTTTTGATTTTTCCCAGATTGATGGACAAAAATAACCTGCCAGTAAAAATTTCCTATAGTTTATGGGATTTTTCTACATTTTTCTGTTATAGTTATCTAATAAAAAAAGTTAATGGTAGTTTTGTGCAAAACCCTCCAAAGTTCATGGCAACTTTGTGAATTGAACCCTTAATATCTGTATGATAGTGAAATATGAAAAAAAAACTCTCTAGCTTCTAGTTATATGGCAACCGAATTTTCACAAATTCAGAAGATTATTTCTTTCCTTAACTAACTTTCAATGAGCAATGTCCAACGTCCAACAAAACAACAAAGCTTTTATCCCAGATTTTGGCGGTATTATTATCCTTCCATTTAATTCTATTAAATCTCTTTTATTAACTATTTTTGTGATGCATACTTCTCTAAGTTCATATACAAGCTAGCTTTCCATGACCAATATCATGCCATTTTATTTGGAAGAAATTATTTGAATAGACCGTGTTTGTTAACTTATATCAAGTTTTGTATATGGACTGCGGATAAAAAATGTACATCAAGCAATTTTGAGTCTCACCTTGTTACAGGGTTCTGGAACTAGAACTTCAAACTAGTTAGAGATATACAAAATTTGTTGATATTTCAATGTTTGAGATAGGAAAAGTGATACCTTGGCCTATAACTACTGCTCTCCTTTCTCCAGCAGTTGCTTTAATAAGCGTATTTAAATCATAAGAAGTATAAGGTCCATCAGTCAATCTTCCAGGCCTGATAAGCAAAAATAATTAAATGTTTCAGCCAAAATTTTTTACCATTCTATAGGTTCATATAGGTGAAGAAATTTATCTAAGCATTAATATCTTAGTAATAAGTAATAGACCTGATAATGGTATAAGGAAGGCCAGAATTGCGAACAAAATCCTCCCCCATCTTCTTAAACTTTAGAACTCCAAATAGATTCATGATACTGCAACCAACATCGAAAAACTTTGCGAGTGCATCTTTTCAACCAGAGAAATGAAGTCATGTATGCAAGACTTTTATATTATGAATCGCAAAAAAACAACATAACCGAGACAATAATGTATTGTCTAAAAGGAAACATTTTAACTTAATTGATGCATGTATGTCACCCAATATGATTGCTAACAGTTTAAAAACTAATTTATGCATATTTTTATAAACGTCTATGAATTATTAGACAGTACAATGCTTTAATTTTTCAACGTTGGTGTCCTTAACAGATATTATATGTTAATTGATGATTTACTGATGAGGTTTCCACCGTCATCAACATTATGAAAGTACATTTAGAAATGATGAATTGTATTAGTTGAAGAATCTTAATTTGTTTTTTTATATTAATATGCTCTGCAAATAATCAGCAATTTACCTGGGATAAAGTTCATAATGATGAAAGGACTTTTAGTACAAAATTTGTCTCCCATGTTAATGATTAGTCTAAGATCAAAAAAAGGGATTTTATGCATATTAAAGCAGAGGCCCCGGAAGAATCTCTATTAAAACAACAGTAAAGCCCTTATCCCTAATTTGTGTTTGCGCTGTCAAAGATGAAACTAATTGTCTTAAAGAACTCAGTATGGAAAATTAAATTCAACTTATCATGGGCCTGACAGCAACCCAATTGAGCAATGCTTTTGCAATGAAAGTTTGAAATGATGCATCAAGAAACAATTCACTAAGATAAAACATCAACTTTTACATACCCAAAACTAGATAATAAATTCAGAATCATTGTATTAAAACATATCAAAGAATATTTAGGTTTCAAATAAACAAGCTTATATACCTCCATGGTAATTCACCAAATTTCGTGACGCCAACCGATGAGACAAGAACAAATCTCTGTATAGTTGGAGGCAGCACCGATACAAGATTCCGAATGCCCTCCCAGTCTTCAAATGATGATAATTTTTTGAGGTACATAGAGAACATAGTTGTCTCAATTTCATGTGTAAACAATCTTAATCATGCAAATAGAAGTTTTTCTGGTGGAACAGGAAAGAATGTAACGAAAATAAACCAATGAAATTCTGTTGATCAATGTACAAAAGTCATCATGGCTGAGGCACCTGAAGAAGGGGGCTTACTTTCTGTATATTTGGGAGAATAATTAAAATTTTACTTGACAAGAACATCCTCCAAAAACAACAAAGCCCTTATTGTATAATTGTAAGGTGGGGAACGTGAATCCTTTTTGCCATTAAGAGCTACCTCCTAGGAGTTTAACTACCATCATATGCATACTTTAACACCTAAGTTCATGTTCATTTAGGTTGACATTTAGTTTAACTACTCATCAACCATAGATACTTTCTTGAGATGTATTATGAAAATGTACATTATTAAAAAATATTCATGGTAATGGAAGCTACCTTGATTGATGCAGGGCATTGAAGATTACAACCTAGGATTTAATTTTCTTGCAAGGATTTGATTTGATTTTAGTTAAGATGTTTTAGTTGGAATTGTTATTTGGTTTTATCTGTTAGTTAGGATATTTAGACATGATTCTTTTTATCTTTTAATTAGGAGTTTGTTTGATTTGATTAGGATTTTATCCTATAAATAATAATGTATTTCTTCATTTGAGGAGATGAAAATTGTTGAATAAAATATGAGTTCTGAGCGATGTAATTTGGAGTGATTCCATAGGCATGAAGCCACATTTTCTGATTAGGCGCTGCGAGTGAATCCGGCCTACTCAAATTATCTTGTTTCTCTTTTACAATCCTATCCTATTGTCTTTCTTGCCTGCAAGAAATCAGATCATCCCTGCAGCCACAATCAGTCATATCCCTTCTGTTTCCGGGAGAGAAATCAAACAGTAGCAGCAAATCAATGATGCCGATCACCTTGGACGAGCCCCGCTGTCCCTGACCATCATCGTTCTCCATCATCGATCCACTTCATCGATAGTTTAAAAAGCATGAACATGCATTATTAGAAAAAGAACACTGTTTTGATCCTGAAATTCCAAGTTCAACTTCAAAGATATAATTTAGGTAATCTATATCCCTCAACTCTCTCCAATTGAATGCTGAGAAGCTTTAGTTATACTGAGCAATAGGGCTTACTTAGCTAGCGCAGTTCCTTACATTTAACTAGAAATGGTTGTTAGCAAACCAACAACGTTGACAGATATATGTTTATTGCCAAGAAACAAAGTAAGCAATATGACAAATGGTAATATCCTACCTACTCTTTCAGGTGTATTATCTCCTTCCCAGCGTTTTGAAGGGAATGCAGTGGTTCCCGTGCAGCAAATCACATGTGTAACCCCCTACGAAACAAGAGTCCTATAATTCGATTTAATAAAGGAGTAAATAAATTAAGATTCAAAATTAGTAACAAAACTTATGATCATAAAGGAGGCAGAAGGAAAAACCTGAAATATAGTTGGATCTAAATCACTAGGATTCCTTGTGTCCCCTTTCCATATCTATAAAATTAAGCCAGAAACTTCCTTAAATATTGATTCTAACAGTAAGCATGCACAATAAACATTTACCTTTAAAGGTTCCTCGTCTTGTATACCAAATAGAGACATTGCTTTCTCAGGATCTCTGAGCAGCAAGCGCGAGTTGATGTTTCGGCTTAGCAGGGATGCTACAATTAGCTGTCCTGGGAGGAGAGAAAATCTAATAAAAATAAGCGAGATGGCAGATGAAAAGTATAAGGATACAATGTTAAAGTAGATGGCTCTAACAGGATATTCGTAGCTTAATCATTTCTATGTCCGTCGTTATGTTGACCAGAATGATATATTAATGCATTCATTTGCAAGTTTTTATGTGTGAGGTGTCATTGCATAATTCTCCTTTTGAGTAGATCAACTATTAGAGACATGTACCTCCCCTGGTGCTCGCCATAAAGTACATATTACCTAACATGTTTCTACAAAAACATACAACTCATAAAGGGGGACTAAAAAAAGGGACTAGACCTCAATGATTTCTCCTACAATTAGACCCATGTAAGCTTGCAAAAGGGTGTGAATTTCATAGGGAGCGAAATTATCGATATAACTTGAGGGAGCAAGAAGGTTCCACGAGAGTCATGGGTTTATTCGTTCAAAAGTTCTCGTACCAATCGATTTAAAAATGAGTTTCTTGGAATGGGTTCGTGGGTTTGGAGCATTTAAGATAACCCTTTTACCTAATGTGATCCTAGAAGCTTCTTGCTATTTTTCAAGAAGGTCGTCGAATCTCTCTTTGCATGGTGTGTATGCAGTTACTTGAAGCACATAAGTCTTTGGTGTTTGTTTCATCAGGTTACACGGGGAAAATATCAAAACAGACCTTGTCCACAAGACAGCTGGTGAGCAGAAAAGCCCTTCGGCCAGCGCGCTCATCCCAAAAACCCCTTCAGTCAAATGAACCCAAGATTTCAAAACCCCTTTTTATCCCCAAGAAATGTAACACGATTTCGCCATTTGCTGTTAAGGTTTTCATTCATCGAATAGGTATACTAAGCTAATAAACAACTACATGCAGCAATTTCAATCCAAACCGATGATATACAACCCCAATAAAACCAAATAATGAAATCTGTAGTCCATGATGGGGAGGCTTACCCACTCCTCCGGTTCCTCCGACGACAAGAACAACCTTTGAAGAGGATGGAGATGAAGGGGAATACTGTTTGGTTTGCTCCTCACTCACTGCTTGGCTCGCTAAAGCTCTCCTCCTCCTCCTCCTCCTCCTCTCTCCTCCTCCTCTCTCATTGGAGGATGAGAGGTTTGGGGGTGTTACTTGCAATAAAAATGTTCGAGGGCTTCTTAAGAATCTCTTGCTGGGTTTCTCAAGGGAGATGGGGAGGCGAGAGGAGAGCCGGAGAGCCATTGAAGAGGATGGTGGAGGATATTAGGTACAACGGCCGTGAGAAGTTCTTGTAGCCGTTGTCTTCTTCGTGGGATAAGATGGGCTCCACACGTAGCATTGGGCTTGGAGAAACGAAGCCCATCTATTCAGCCCATTTTAACAATTCGTTTTTTTAGTGCTAGAGATTTCTACTTACAAACCCAAAGTTTTTCCCTCATTTAAAGCCCACAGAGTTCTGTTGTATTCGTTTTCGGGCCCCCAGAATTTTATGCGCACAAATAAAAATGAGCTGGATGAAAAAGCACGTGGTTTATCAAAGTTTTATGCCCTGGTGATTCAAGCAACCCACAATAATAACTGGATTTTAATGCGCCTATCATTTGTACTTTTTTAGATCGGGGAAGATTGTATCGATTGGAAATTTTGAAAGTATGTAATTTTTTTTTTAATCTCAATGGCTTTTGTAATATATAGATAACAATGAACGATTTGAATCAGTGATGTATGAACAAAATGTGCAAATTGCATGTAAATCCCCTTACCTATGCCTTTATTTGCATTTAACACATATTAACTCGTCCTAGCGCTCTTGGATTATCATTTTTAGAAGACAAATTGTAGGTAACGCCCTCCGTCATGGATTTTGAGGGAACCTGCTTCCCAGAACCGTATATAAATGAGTCGAGAGGTATTCAGCGTAACTAAAGATACAGAGATGGGGGCAGTTGTATGCGTTATCAATGTGCGGTTTCGTTGCAATTACCCTTAAAGAGATGTAAAAGAGTATGTTGTCTAGCTCACAGGTATGTACGCACCGTCAACAAATCAATGTGAAGAATTTGGAGCGTTTGGATACCAAGGCGTTTTTGCCGTTTCCGTTTTTTTTTTCAAAAAAAACAATGAAACGCGTTTGGCAACCGGGGCGTTTGGATACCAAGGCAGCGACGCCTACCGTCGTCGTCGTCGCCGCGTCACGTGCCGGCCGCCGGCCGCCCTCCGGCCCGCCACCCGCTCCGCCCGCCCGTCGGCCGGCCGGCAACCACCGCCCGCCACCCGCCGCCGCCGCCGCTATATAATAGTAACTAACAATGGTGTTTTCAAAACACTTTTGAAAAAAAAAACGTCTTGGCATAGTGTTTTTCTAAAAAAACACTACGAAAAAAAATCGCCTTGGTATTTAGAGTTTAATTTGAGAGAAATCAAGTCCACCTGGTGAAAAAAGCAATTTTTTTGAAAGGAACAACAATGTTTAAAACCGTGATCGATCTATTAAATTTCTTTCTTTCTCTCACTTTCGAGATATTTGAGTAAATTGATGGAAAATAAACTACTTGGGTATTATACCTCTCACACGGGGAAAAAAAAGCGGAGAGATATGTTTGTATCTTCCGGTGCATCGTACCGTTTGAATAGAATGAAATAAACTTAAAATGTTTGGTCTACAAATCTCGTGTTTTTATGGAGCGTCTTCCGGTGTCAGGTACTGAGCCAATAGTTATGTTTTTCTATTGCATTGTGTCATTTGAATAAATAAAATAACTGTGTTTTTCCATAGAGTGCTCATGGGTATTCTACAAGAGAGGAGAGAGAGAGAGGAATGAATAGTCATGCCCCCCTGACCTGATTTGCATTAATTTCTGTGCATAATTCATTTCTCTTTATCTCTCTCCTTTCTTATAGAGTGCCCATGAGCACTCCATAGAAAACCCAATTCGATTGCAGCTGCAAATAATAACATTTTAAATTTGCTCGTCTCCTCGCACAAAGTTGGATTCTAATTGAAGTTTATATTGAAGGACAACATGAGTCATGGCGCGCACGTAGCGTCGAATGCAAAGTATGTATCATTTCCATGTCGATTGCCATCAATCAATAAGCCAAAATTCTCAAACCTAAACGCAATTCTATCATGATTTGATTAATAAGAGAAAAGTGTCAATAATAACGAGCGCGTAGGAACTATAATGAGATGGGCAAACTTTCGAGAAACTGAAACAATCGAAAATTCTCTTTAATCAATATTATGGACATTCAAATCAATATTCTCTTTGTTGAAGTACCTTGAATTTTAGCTTAGGGGTTTTTTAGATATTCCTCCCTCAAATTATCCATATTTTAATATAACTCCCTCAAATCATCATAATTATCTCCTCGCCCAAATCATGTAAGTTAGTTGAAACAGCTCCCTCTGTTAATATAGCCATTCAAATAATCTACCTAGGGTTGAATTAAGGGTAACCAGGGTTGTGCAATGACAGTATTGCCCATGGGAGTCAAAATACACCAATTTCCATTACTTAAAAGCTATAAACTTTGACAAAAAAACTAGTATTTTATATAAATTCAAAACCCCTAATACAATCAAAACGGATCTTCATCAAGAATAACACCTCATCCAACTTCTTCTCCAATAAATTGATTTCTTTTTGACATTTTCACAACTAAACCTTTGCCGTCATCAACCCAAGCAAAACCCCTGCAAAACCCTTGAATGATGAATTCCTATACTGTGTACAGCCATAGAACAAGAATCGTATGTTCTCCCATTGCTCGAGTGTGTTGCCCCCAACCAACACCATCATCTCCATTAGAAGAGGAGTTTAAAATTGAAATTTTGATTGTAGACATGAAGACAATACATAAGAGATTTTGAAAAATGGAAAATAGATGAGCTTGGAGGTTCTTCAATGGGCTTTATAGAGTCAAAAAGGAAAGGGTAAAAAAAGAGCCAATAATGAGGGAGGAGAGGACTGTTATTTGGAAAGAGAGGATAATGAGCTTAGAAGAATAAGGAGATGGATATAACGATCACTTTGGGGCTGTTTGGTTCGTTTTTTAACTCGGTGGAAAAGTTTTACACCATCTCCACATCAGATTTTTCGTGACCACGTAGGATATAAGCTTTCCGTCGGGTTTTTTTTCCCATCTTTGGTTCGCTAGGGTTGAAGAAGGGAAACTCGGTGAAAATCACTGTCACATCAGATTTTTTTCTCTCCCCCAATTCCTTCCTCAACCTCGTGAAATTGACGAAAACAACAGCCGCGTTGGCTTTTTGCCATATAAACAAAAGTTTTCCCTTTTTTCCATGCTAACCAAACACAAGAAAAAAATAAACATATTGGTTTCCCACTATTTTTTTTTGTGCGAACCAAAGCGAAACAATCTATTTCTTGGAAAAGTTTAGAAAACTCAAAACTTGTGTTTTTGTACATGGAAATGCATTTCCCTATATCTAGGAAACGAACCAAACAGCCCCTTACATAAAAATTAAACATAACGGGGTTTGTCTTTATATTTATAATAAGAAAAATACCTTAAAGACACAAAATATAGGACCAATGGAGGGGACATGTGAGGTGTCCCCTCCCTATTGTATAGCCAACTCATTATGCAATAGGGAAAAAAACATCTCACCTATCCCCTCCATTGATTCTATATTTTTGGGTGCATGTAACAGCGCTCTTATAATAAGAGGAGCACTAGGGGCACACCTTGGGACACACTCCCAATCACACCCCTCACCTGCTACAGTGCAGGGGGGTCCCACTTGAGATTTTTAAAAAAATCTCAAGTGGGACCCCCCTGCACTGTAGCAGGTGAGGGGTGTGATTGGGAGTGTGTCCCAAGGTGTGCCCCTAGTGTTTTTTTTATAATAATAAGATCAACTACCTAATAATGTTCATGATTTCAGGGAGGAATATCTAGAATCCCCATTGGTTGCGAGGTATTCAAGTAAGCGTGTGGGCCCGCGTTGGGCCGTGGACGCGGTTTGATGTTGGTGAGTGCAGTAATGAAACTTGACATGCGGTTGGTCCATTAATGATAGCTTCCTTCTTCTCTCGGAGAAGGAAATTCTAAATAAAAAATTATTGATAAAAGATACAATTAGTAGATTATACCGAATATAATCTACAACAATAATCGGAAAGATCCAAATCACAAATTCATCATCAACTCGTCAAAACTGGTGATCGAACTTTTTCCTAATTTTCTTTCTTTTTAAAAAATAAAAAATAAAAACTTCCTCAATTTTTAGCTGCCACAAGTATTTTTTGAGCGTACGCATCTTCACATACACGAAGACATCAACTCTATACCCAATTTGAAACGAATCTATACCACGCGAATCTCAGTTCCCCACCTTCTTTAATCCTTGTCCGCTCCTATCAACTGCCTTCGCATTTTTGACCCGTAAAAATAAAATAAAAGATCTGGAGGGGGGGAAAATTAAAAAAAAATCTATAGTTAGAACTTTAGAAACGAAAATATTTCGAGCATTTAGGATATTTTCATCTTCCTATTTCAGTCATGTATTTGTATTTGACAAAAATTAAAAAAAGGAAAATTTAAGGACAAATTTTTAAAACCAACCTATTTAGCAACTTAATTACAAAAAAAAAGACCTATTTACAATTTAATTATCAAAATCGACCCAGTTTCAGCCAACTGGCTGAAACTGGGTCGATTTTGGCAATTAAATTTAAAATGGGTAGATTTTTACAATTAAGTTTCAAAATGGGTTGGTTTTAAAAAGTTGTCCAAATTTTAAACATTTAATAAAGATTCTTGATTTTATTATCATAATTGCAAAATCTGGAGAAAACATCCAAAATAATCCCAAAACCGCCGTCAATAGTTTCCCACCCCTTTTCCTATTTAACCGTCACCCTTCCTCCTCCTCTATAAATACTCCTCCCAAGAATAGGGAAACCTCAATTAATTAAAAAAAATCAAAATCACAAATCTCGAAAATCCTCGGTATCATCTCCCAGAATGCAAGCTTCCAATCCTCTTCAACGCTCGCCAGATCCCACCCGAAATCGCACCGTGAACCGGGCCCGAGCCGCACACCCGAACGCCGAACCCCGTCACGACCTCGAGCGCTGGTCTTCCACAAGTTCGACACCTCACGGCACGTAAATGTCTCCTCGTGGAGCTCGCGCCATCTTTCCTCCCCTCGCCGCTTCCCACACGGCCGACGAGCTCTCCCTCATGATGTCCGTGAGGCCGATCGACGAGACGGCTTCAGCAGCCTCGAACGAGTTCGTCAGGCCTCAACACCGCCGGCGTCGACGACCCCAACGAGGATCTGAGGCAGGCGTTCTCGGTCTTCGATTCGGATCGGAACGGGTCGATCTCCGCAGAGGAGCTCGCTAGGGTTTTGAGGAGTTTGGGCGAGGAGGGGGTTGATGTTGACAAGTGCAGGAGGATGATCGAGGGGGTTGATAAGGACGGAGATGGATCGGTGAGCTTTGAGGAGTTTAAGCTGATGATGAGCGGATCGGGGATCGGATCGTTCAAGATTTAGGGTTAGGTTTTTTTTTTTTCCTTGTTAGATTTCTGATTTAGTGAAGGATGCTAAGTTTGTAAACAGGTATTGGATCTGGTTAATAGTGATGGAGTCTTAATTGGGGATCAAAATTCTTTGAAATTCGATTAATTTGGGATTTGCGCGCTTAATGGTTGCTTGACTTTCTTTATTAAAAAAAAATCTTTTCTTTATTTGCTGAATATTTTTATTTATTTATTTCTGTCTACGTAATAATCAGGAAAAGTATTATTCATTATATTGACAATTTGGAAGAAAAAAAAGGAATGAAATTGATTTTTTAATTATTAAGAATTTTATAATTAATATTAAATTTTTGGAAGCCCTCACAAACTCCCTGTAAATAGTGGTCATTTCCACGTAGGCCTGTCCATTCGGGTCGGCCCAGCTCGGACCCGAGCCTGAGTTGACTGGGCTTCGGGTTAGGCCGGGTTTTTTAACTTTTTTTTAATTTTTTATTTTTTTAAATCTCTTTAAATTTTAAAATATACATAAAAATTAAGAAAATGCTAATAAAAACAATAATATTATTAATAATTTGAAATAACATAAATTATAAATATAAAAATTTATAAAAATAAAAGATGATAAAAATAAATTCTTTATTAATAATCAGTAAATCATTTACAAGTATAAATTTATTTCGGAATTCGTCGCATCACAATATATGAGTAATCCAACTAGGTTGACACCTATTCACATATATCACTATCATTTGCAACTGTTTCTAAAAGAAATTTACGGTCATTACATGTACTTTGAACAATTAAATTTAAAATATGACAAATACATCTAATATGAAAAAGATCACCATGATATGGCAATGACAAAGTTATTTTGATAAAATCAACAGCTGCATTGTTATTACTTGCATTATCTAGTGAAAGAGAAAATATTCTTTGATCAACTTCTAGTTTCATAAGTTCTTTAATTATTAAATTTGCAATATTAATACTAATATGTGACTCTTCAATTGCAATAAAGAAAACAACTCTTTAAACATTTGCTAATTTTCATCAATCTAGTGTGTTGTGATACATAAATAACCAGTTTGTACTCTAGATGTCCAAATATCATAAGTTAAAGAAAATTTACAGTTTAAAATTTTAAAATAAGAAATTATTTTTTCTTGTTCCTCCTGATAATGTTTTAAAATATCACGTTGACAGGTTTGACGAGAAAATTTTGTAAATACGGGATAAAAACCATCTCTAAATATATCTTCAAATTCATCATCTTTTACTAATTTAAAATGAAGGATTTTAAGAATGATAAACTTGATTACGCATTTCCTGGCTCGGGCAGTGTCATAATTCTAACTACCGAGACTATCAGAAGAGAAGAATTGGGAAATCATAAATTGTCGGATATCACCTTGAGGATTTTGACATTTATTGTGTTTTTTTATATGGCGTTTGAGGTGATTGGTGCCGATCTTATGATGAGCTTGGAAAGTTTGGCCGCACAACGCACATTTAGCCTTCTGGGTAAGGATCCTACCGTGTTCATCCTTAGTGACGTCTATCTTCTCAAAAAAAAAAAAATTCACACATCGGATCTCGGCCTTTTAGGAGCTCTTGGTGCATATTCGTCGCCACCAGATTTGGGATTAACACTGGTAGGATTGGTATGAGTAGCTGTTGTAGAAGGACTCATTTCAAGATTGGTAGGAGATAGGTTTTGCTCATCATAATCAGATTCGGAAGCCATTTGATAGAAGGATTGGAAAATATAAGAGATTATTAGAGAGTATAAGAGAGTTTTAGAGAGAAGTAGATGAGTTTTGGTGTGAGGAGAAGAAGTAAAAACCCCCATCTATTTATAGAGGCAGCCTTCTAGGCAAATGACCAAAAAACCCTCACAAAATAGCTGTTTTTAACCGTTTTTAAAGACAAAACAGTCAAAACGGTCAATATAGTCGTTTTGGCCGGGCCGGGCCGGCCCGACCATAACGGTCACTTCCCTTGACCGTTTTCAGGCAAAAAGTACGGTCATCGCTGGTGACTCTTTGGCCGGTCGCGACCCGATTCCGACCTCTGACTTGTGCACGCACAGCTTCAACCCAGTCGGTGAGCGTTGGCAACCGTGGCCGGCTCTAGGGTCCGGGCTCTTGCCCGACCGGATTTCTATGCCCCGACCGGCACTGTACCGGCGGGGCCCGGCGGCCTTAGCGACCGGTGGCCGGCGGTTCGCCTCGAGAGGCACGGGTTTCAGGCCGGCGGGCTTTTTGGACAACCCTATTTCCACGCCACCAAGGTTCGTTCGAATTACTGTATAACACCATGTATCTAAATTTTGCATCTAAAAGCTTGCTGGATCTATCACTAACTTGAGCGTCAGAGGGCACACCGGAGAATCAAACTCCGGCCGTTCCTTCTAATTGATCAGCTATCAAGGAAGATTAAAGAACCCTAAACTCCTCTAAATATACACTCACCTATATAATTAACTTCCTACATAAACAATGATATTGACAGAAAACCATTACTTTTTGCAATCATTTAATACATGGGTAACACACACTAAACATGCCTAAAATGTTTGTGTACCTCATAATACATGGGTAACACACACTAAACATGCCTAAAATGTTTGTGTACCTCATAAAACAAACGAATGGATGTATGATCAAAATAGTAAAGGGCGGGTGGTGTTTTTTATGCGTAAAAGAGAGTCGGTATGTGTTCGTTGCATCCCCTTCAAAGAGAGAAGGTGACATCCTCCTTTGATGAGTCTTACCACTAACTTATCTCTTAATAGCTCATTCTACATAGTAAACTTTTATTTTTAAGATATAGTAAAAAGCAGAAAAATAGTCCAAGTTTCGATCTAAATGGGCGCTCAACCTGCGAGGGAATATCAGATCATGAACTTAAAACATTGACTATAAGTTCACCGTATTCATGCAGTGGAAATGATCATTCAGCAGGGTAAGTTGTGAATTCTATTCATTTCTATCAAATTGCAACTTACAAGAGTTGCAATGTTTATACATTCTTTGCTGAAGGTAGCCATCACTAACACAAATACTTCTAGTGATTAGCTTGTATTATGTTTTCACATTTTACAATATCTAATACATGTAAACATGGAATGCAATTGGCTTGTATAGTTTCTGTATATCTAAGCCTGCTCACTTTTGTCTGTAACTCTATCGTCGCGATGAGATGTCTCATCACTGCATATTGATTTCTCATCTAGTTCATCGCCACATTCGGAAACTACTTCTTGAGAGTCAGAGTTCTGAACTCCTCTGTTTCCAAGGTTAACATCCTCTTTCTTCACAACATTGAACATAATCCCGTTCTGAATCCTTTCAGGTTGCAGCAAATCCCCTTCAGAAACAACAATGCTATTCGAGCTTGAATACGTTGACCCTGATCCTTCAATTTCATCGTCTCTCGTCGACAAGTTCCGATTCATTTCTAATTCAACATCAAAATCCTGAATGAATTTTGCCGCAGAAGCTGTCTTCATTAAAGGACCCCCACACCTCGTCCAACAATTTAAATCTATGCTCTCTGACTCGCTATCACTACCATCATACACGCTTCGTGCATGCTTTGCCTGCTGGCTTGCAATTTCGGCAAGAAGTTCCTCTTCGATGGATCCTGTCGAGTTCTCCCTGGCTAGGAGATTCCATGAGGGGATTCTCCTTGAAGGGCTTATCTTGACTGTTGAAGTGAGGCCTTGTTGGGATGCTGCAGCTCTTGCCGCGTTCCTCTTTAGCCTTCGCATGTGGTTTAAAAGGGCGACGCACTCATCAAGAACGAGCTCTATAGCGCAGTTTGCTTTTATGGCGGATAGCTTCTCCCAGGTGCATCTTCTTCCTTGGTTTGCAGCCTTTTGAAGCTCCATATATGATGGGTTTTGTATAATCTTGGAATACTGAAACAAAAAGAAGTCAAGGGTCAAGCTGCTGTGCTCAACCATGCTGGATTCTATAGATATTTTTTTTAAGAAATCTGAAGGAAATTTTATACCTGAGCAAGTGTTGCAGGCATTACAACAGTGACATCTCCCTCCCAATCTTGAGCAAATAGTTTGGCTAGGCCTCCTAATGGGAAACCCAGCTCTAGAATCTGATGGCATCGATGTTTAACCTCCATTTCAACTAGATGCGCAAGCTAGCCACAAAAATTACATAATTAGAATAGTATTATGGATAAGAAATTAGTGCATTTGTAGGAAATTAAAGATTTTTGCTTCAATTAAGTACAAATGACAGAAAATCACTGTAGATAGCTTAGTTGTGGGCAACTGGGACCACTAAATTCATCAACCAGGAGAAGGAACAAGAATAATAGGAAAATGATTGACTTTTTAAATGACGGTAATCCATAAAATAACTGAATGGACCTTAAAAGAACTGAATCGAAGAATAGGATTTCTGTAGGTATCCATTACCTTGGAAGCAAAACTGCCTCCATAAGTAGCCACAAGCTCCTTCATCCTCAACAATGGAGCTATATGAGGATTGGCCTGACTCACAATAAAATGGTTCACATTAAACAACTCCTTCAGCTGAATCATCGGCAAATCAACCTCCAAGCTCCCATCCCTCCACCGTCGAGCTGACCCACTCGCCTCCTCTGGGCCATCGAGAAACGGAGAATGAAATGGCACAATCTCCCCAAACCTATCCTTCGCCATCAACTCCTGCGCCTCAAACAAGCCAGGAAACGCACAGGACGCAGTCACAGCACTCCAGATCACAACATGCGGCGATGTTAAGTAGTTAAGGCATCTCGGTGGCTCATGCTTTCTTGGCGAGCACACTGTTATGCCAAGAACTCTCCCAGTCATATCATAAGCTTCTTGAAACGTAAGATTGCCAGTCAGATGCCTCAGCATTCGCTGCAACTGTGTTATATCGTGAACTGCACCGAGAGTCATGATTCTTTTGAAGACTGCAAAGATTCCTCCCATCTGATCAAAGAATTGGAGGGAGTTTGATGAATTTTCGAAGAAGGATTCGAGCTCAGGCCAGGATCGGGTGGCGATAATGGAGCACATGATGGAGCCAACACTGGAGCCTGCGATGATGCGAGGGAGAAGCTTGTGGTCGACTAGGGTTTTGACAACACCAACATGGAAAGCGCCGAGGGAGGCACCACCACTTAGGAGGAGTGCGGTTCTGCCGTAGGCATGGCGGGTCTCGTGCATGAATGCGAGCTTTTCTTCTAGGAGTAGGTCTTCGCATTCTGAGTCGCAGATCATTTTTAGTTGGGTTGAGACTTCATCAATGTATTCCTTTATGAGTCTAGGCACCTGTAATTTTTTGCTTGATTAATGACCAAAATTTACACAGACCATAATCAATATATATCTCACTCTAAAACATTATTATTCCAAACTTTCAACTATTGCCGATATAAAAAGGTGGAGTCATTGTGTAGAAGCGATCGCTAAAAATTATAGAAAAAATTGAATTGATGGAGAACAATGGGTTTAATGTTGAGTTTTGGAAATCCAAAACTTTCGAAGTGCAACTCTAATTGACTATCATGGCGTATCTTGGGAAGACCCATTGCAAAAATTATATACTAGCCTGCGTTTTCCCCTCCAATTCAAGTTTTCAAGGACACATTTAGAGTTTACCAAAATTTTAATATTGAATTTGACAACTTTTATGTGATTTTCTATTTTAAATGTATTTGATTTTAGGCATTTCCTTATTCTCTAAACTAAGAATTTACTTATGTAAGGACTAGATTTCCATGGTATAGACACTCTTTACCGAATAATATATATATTCAGAAGTTCCTCTCCATTTCCCTCGTTTTTTTTAGTTAATTGGGAGGTTTTACTCGATATATATCTCAAAGTATATTCATTTTAAAAAGTTTCTAACATTTAATTATAATTCCTAATTTGTTTTCAATTTTTCCTCTCAATTTACTCCAAGTCAATTGCTTCTTGTAATTTCTCAATACATCCAAATCAAATCACATTAGAGCAAAAATCGTTCAAAGAAAAGTATAATTTCAAAAATTTCAACTACTTTTATAGAGAAATCGGATTCAAAGAATTACTTACTGTTAATTTTGGATTTGTTATAACGTGTCATTACTTAGAAAGATCTTTGAATAATTTGCGCAATAACCCAAAGTTTTTGCCTCAAAGAATCAACTTTCCAAGCATATACATAAAGCTTACAAAGTTCAGAAATGGGGTTTTCATAATTATTTTGTAATTTGCAATATTAGCTTTACTTGATTTTCAGACATTTTATTACTTCCTAAAGTTAGAATTTGCTAATATAAAACCTAGCTTTCTACAGTTTCAGTACTTTTTTACCCATTTCAGAATCTTTCTGCCATGTCTTTCTCTGTGTTCCGATAAATTTTATGGGTTTCTTTCTATACACACAACCCCAAATCATAGTGCTCTCTAATTCCAATTCAAATAATCATAATAGCTAATTTGTCTTCTTCCTAAATGTCTCCCCAGTAGTATCCCAATCAATCCAAATCAAACCACAACAGATCATAATTCAGTTTTTTTTACCTGAAGCCTTCCCTTGTGTAATTGAGGGTTGCACATGTTCCCCAAATTCCTCACCAAATCAGCCCTCATACAGAACACAACATCCCTCAAACTCCCCCCCTCCCTCCTCATCCTCAGCTCCCTCACCTTCTCCCTCACCAGCTCCTCATCGTAAAGATCCCCTTCGATGTCCTCTTTCCCGCCATAATCTCCCTCTCCATCATCCTCGCCGCGTGGGCCCACTCCTCGTACGTCACCGCGCTCTTCATAATGTTCCCCAGAACTTCCTGCGGTACGCTGACTCCGCGCGGGACCGGACTCCGGCGATCCGGCGGGACGAAGGCGGCGACGGCGCGATGAGGACGATGCGGTGGGCGTTGCGGGGGTGGAGGGAACAGAGAAGAGCGGAGGATCTGGCGGAGGAGGGCGAGATCGACGGAGGCGGAGGATTTTGACCGCGACCGCGCCGATTTGCCGGAGATCAGCCTTTTTTCCTGGGGGAGTCTTGGGTTTCGGTGTTGGTTTGAAAATGAAGTAATTTATCCGGAGGGGTCTTTTTGTGGGGACCACCTGTCAGTGAGCCTTCGGACTTTCAGACTGTTTGCAATTATAAAAGCACCAATCGTGTGTAAGCACATAATGTTGCGTGCAACATTTGTTGCATAAAATCAAGGAAAAATTGCTTCAAGGCGCCAAAACTAAATTGTTGATGTGTCCCAGGCCCTTAAACTTTTTCTAATGTGTTTTTTCCCCAAAAATGAAAAATCTATGTGAATCAGCCCCATTTACAATTTCCAAGACAAAAAATTCCCAGACTACCCTCTTCTTCTTCTGCAGATCTTCTCTAGATCTACTCCTCTTCCTACAAACCCATCTCCTCTTCCACCCTCTCTCTAACCTCACTCGAAACCTCCAACACCACCGCTACCTCCGTCACCCCTGTCTCTACCTCGCCAGGGGGTTCTGCAAGAACGACAACAGGTACAAGTTCCTCCACGACCTCAACGAGGACAAGCTCGACGGCCCCCCCCGCCGCCACCGCCGCCAGGTTTCCGTACCCCCTCGGGCAGCTTGCCGATGTCCCCGTTGTCGCCCATGAACCAGAGGTAGGTGAACGGCGGCTGGCCGAGTTCTTTTCTTAGGCTTTCGACGGTGGGTTCCGTGGATTTTGATGACTCGTTTTGATTTCAGGGCGGCTGCGACGGCGGAGCTGATGCTCGCCGGAGATGAGAGCAGGTTCATGGGCCAATCGAGGATCAACCGGAGTTTGATGTTGTTATTGTCATGTAAGCTTCAGTTGAACTGGGAAGGAGTTTGATGTTGTTCTCTGTGCAATTTGATTGTTATTGATATTGCAAATTGTATGGTGGGATTTTGGGAATGCATTATGGTCATTGTTGGTTTGATAACACTTTTCCTGATGATAACACTTTCAGAGAAGAGGATGTCTCCAATTATTTTAGGTTACGGGAAATTTTCTTTTTGAACTTTTTGATGGTTTGACAATTGTTGTTTGGGGTTAAAACTGATTTGGGTTCGTGTTATTTTCTATAGTATTTATGGGCCAGTTCAAGATGTGAGGATCCCCTAATCTCAACATGTTGGGGCTTGGATGTATATCAAAATCAAGAAAGAAGTAATAATTAAACTCAGGGTGTGGTATATATAAATGTTGTACAAATTTGTGATGGTGATTTCTTGTGTCTGCTGTTGTTTGTTGTCATGTAAGCTCCAGTTGAACTGAGAAGGAGTTTGATGTTGTTCTCTGTGCAGTTAACTGTTGTGGTTAGCATGTTAACTCTTGTGTTTAACATGTTAACTCTTGTGGATAACATGTTAACTCTTATGGATAACATGTTAACTCTTGTGGCTATATGTTAACTCTTGTGGATAACATGTTAACTTTTATGGATAACATGTCAACTCTTGTGGATAACATGTTAACTCTTGTGGCTATATATTAACTCTTGTTATAGTTAACATGTTAACTCTTGTGGATAACATGTTAACTCTTGTGGCTAACATGTTAACTCTTGTTGATAACATGTTAACTCTTGTGGATAACATGTTAACTCTTGTGGCAAATTTGTTAACTCTTATGGCTAACATGTTAACTCTTATTGATAACATGTTAACTCTTGTGGCAAACATGTTAACTATTATGGATAACATGTTAACTCTTGTGACAAACATGAATTATAGTTAACAGACAGTTTATGAATAACAGT